CGTGTTAATCCAACCACAGTTAACACGTATGGTAGGCTATCGTGCGCGGAGCTGATAACAATGATAAGGGATAAGGTTTAGGTGTGTTGCTAAGTGGGGAAGTCCTCGTGGAACCTGTGTGCACATGTGAGAGTTTTGAGAAGGGCTGTACCTGTGTGAATGTGATTTACTTTTGTTGTTACACACACACACACACACACACACACACACACACACACACACCTCCACAAAGGGGGTGGGGGGGACCTAAATGGGATTGGTGGTTTTTCTCTTATAAATATATATTTTAAAATTGCATGAAATATTAATGTTTATTTTTTTTATGACTTATGTTCCTACGGTGTTTGTGTTGGCTTTGATGATAATAATAATAATAATAATAATAATAATAATAATAATAATAATAATATATATATATCACAGTTCTTTAGCACACACAAAAATTATTAAAATGCAGTTAAGGAGACGAGATATTAATTATTATTTTCCATGCCTGAAGCTGTGTAATTGTCAAGTGAAATGAATACCAACGGGTGAGTTAATTTATTCCTCTCCATTGACTGTTACAACAACGGGGCTAAATATAACACTGGAATGTGTTCGTTAGCGTCACTTTGGTGTTACTCAACGTGATTATATTTTAGTGGCAACGGAAATAGACGAGTAAGAATAGCCTTTGTAAGTCACGAACCAGACCTAACCTAACCTAACCTTACCTTACCTTACCTTACCTTACCTTACCAGACCTTACCTTACCTTACCTTACCAGACCTTACCTTACCTTACCTTACCTTCCAGACCTTACCTTACCTTACGCCCATTACCCAACCTAACCTTACCTAACCTAACCTTACCTTTTACTTTCTTACTTTACCTTACCTTACCTTACATACCTAGCCGAATTCGTTGATGGGGTAGGTGGTAGGTGAGGGTGAAGGGCCATGGTTAGAAGGGGAGGGTAGAGGGCCATGGTTAGAAGGGGTAGGAGGCCTTGTCTGGCATGGGGAAGGGGGGAAAGGGTAGGGAAGGGAGAGAGATGAGGGAAGGGAGGGAGGGTAGGGAAGGGAGAGGGAAGGGAGATATTAGTGTCTGCAGTGTTTGTTATTATCCTGACCTTGTTGTTTGTTGTTGTTGTGGTGGTGGTGGTGTAAATATGTTGTTGTGGTGGTGGTGGTGGTGGTGGTGTAAATATCACCACACACTCTGGCTTTGTCTGAAGGGATGATGCTGGTGGACTCACTTGAAACGCTTCAAAGAGACTTCAGGCTGAACAAGTATAGGTTTATGACCAGAGAGGATGATTAGTCTTACAATTATGAGGACTGAAACTAATTTAGGTGTGAATTGACTTAAAATGGGATCGTTTATTGTAAAAAAAAAAGATATGTTTAAGGGAAAATTAGTTAATGATTTACAAATTTACGAGCGCAGAAGATAAACTGAAGATGGAAGTGATGTCCATTGAGTTGTAATTTAATAAAAAAAAAAAGAACTTTGATTTAAAACTTGAAAAAAATGTCACTTCACCATTAGAGATTACAAACGATGGTGGTGTACGAGGAAGAACTCTACCCCTCACCTTCCCCTCCTTCCCCTCCCTCCCCTCTCCTTCCCCTCCTTCCCCTCCTCCCCTCTCCTTCCCCTCCTCCCCTCTCCTTCCCTCCTCCCTCTCCTTCCCTCCCCAAAAAATTGGGTTGGTTGTGATTTACAAGATGTCAGATGGATTAGTTAACTTTAATATGTTGCTCCGACGTCCTCCTTCCCTTCCCCTGTGGTTTAGGAGGAGAGAGAGAGAGAGAGAGAGAGAGAGAAAAAAAGAGAGAGGATTCTTCTGCCCTACTGACGATAACGTAACTTGTCGACACCAGCTGACTAGGGATGGCGGCGGCAGTGACAAGAGGGGGTAAGGAGGGGAAGGGAGGATGAGTCGTGTCAGAGAGAAGGAGGTGCAGGGGTGATAAAGGATAGGAGGAGGAGGAGAAGGAGAAGCATAGATTGAGAAGAGGAGGATGTTAAATGAGAAAGCTAGCGGATACCAGGTAAGCCAATACACACACACACACACACACACACACACACACACACACACACACACCTACCTGAAGGAGCCCTCCCCCACCCTCCTTCCGTCGACCACTCGTCAGAGCTGGTCGCCTCGCCCTCCACTATAACACACTACCTACCTGCCGATACCAGATCCCACAAGATTGAAAGTGAATTTTACCTGGTCTCGGTCATCTTAAAAGGTCCTCCTACACATTGCTGACGTGAGTGATAGTCTTGTTATGGTTCGTCGTCTTGTACCATGTTGTCATGGTTCTTGTACCGTGGTTCTTGTACCGTGGTGCCGTGGTTCTTGTACCGTGGTGCCGTAGTTCTTGTACCGTGGTGCCGTAGTTCTTGTACCGTGTTGCCATGGTTCTTGTACCGTATTGCCGCGGGTCGTCGACGGTCATACACGGACTGCTGCGGTCAAGACTTGTGGGACTGCGGTTCAGAGACGAGCTACATGATCCGCAGCACAGCCATCCTCACCTCCTCCTCACCTGTAGTGTTATCAGCATCACGCTTCATTAGCTCCCTCGGACAGGTAAGTGTTCACCTGTTGACGGGTTGACGATCACGACAGGTGTTGCTTATCCCTGGCCTGGCCCTCACCTGCCGCTACCTCACCCTTGCTGATAAACTCACCGGTAGGAGTGGGAGGAAGAGTGATGGGCGCGGGAGGAAGAAGGATGGGAGTGGGAGGAAGAGTGATGGGCGTGGGAGGAAGAAGGATGGGCGTGGGAGGATGATGGACGGTAGTGGGAGGAAGAGGAGGGAGAGGGGATAACAGGTGTCTGAGCGTCAACATGTTTTGCACGCCAGACTAATCTGCTGGAGGGGGAGAATGAGAGGGATACACCACTCCCCTCCTCTCGCGACACTAACTTATGTCATAACAGCGGCCGTCAGCAGCCACATCCGCCGACGTCAGCAGTGTTTATAAATCGTCAGGTGTTATCGTCAACCATAGCCGCGCGACTGTGTGTGTGTGTGTGTGTGTGTGTGTGTGGTCCTGACAGTAAAGCCTATACATGTAGCTGCGTGTTACCTGTCCACTTAGCTCTGAAACGTCTCACCTTTGACGTTGTTATTTTAGTAATGTTTTTCTTTTGTCAACTCTTGAGACGCACGAGACCTTAAGCTTCCGGAAGGTCGTGTGAGAGATACTTGAGGAAACAACTTTTATCTTTAAGAAGGACACACACACACACACACACACACACACACACACAGAAGGAACGTATCCCCCTTTTATAACCCATATTAGTTAAAGAAATATCGTATTGCCGATTTTATCCCGATTCATAAAATGGCAATAGTCCTCATTACAAACCTAACGATCAATTATAGTGGTTCATGATCATCTCTCTGCCCTGTATTTTAAACAGCAATACAAAAGTTATCCCAAAGTTGTTTTCCTACAACATAGTCAGCAGACAAATAATTCTTAATTGATAAACGTGGCCCGAGACCCAACCGCTGTACCTCCGCCAGGTCGACGCCAACATGTATGACTTGGTGGGGAGGGTGACACCTGCACCTTCCTCCCTGTATATTTTCCTCGAGTTTGCTCTCTGGCAGCCCAAGTTACGCCTGAGTCAGGTTACGTCTCGCGACACTTCCCTAATAGTTCTTCGTCCCGCCGCGACAGTCGTATACACACCTCCCCCTCCCCAGGGAGTTTTGATGCTCTTACCAGGGGTGCCACCTCAAGCAGAAGGCGAGCGAACGTTCGTCTGGTGTGTACGTTTCGTAAAAGTGTCTTTGCTAGTTGGAGGGGAAACGACCTATGATGCTGGCTGTTCGTGGTGGTGCTGAGCTAGTAGTGGAGGACCGGGTGTACTGTATATGGCCTAAAGGTGGCGTTTAAACAGAGGTCAGCAGCTCACGGTGACTGGCACACGTCTCTCACACTGCCGCTATATATTTCATCAGCTGGTGCCCTTCTTACCCGGAACTGTATGGTGTTTGTTTATTTTCGGGGAGGAATGGGGGGCAGAGCCCTCCCAACACACCCTCACGCCCCACTCAGGTGTGGCCGGAGGAAGACTTGTTGTGCACGGATACAAGTGTTACCCTGTTGTGTGTGTGTGTGTGTGTGTGTGTGTGTGTGTGTGTGTGTTCTCCCACATCTGTAACCACATTATACCAGACCACATGTGAAGGACCCTGCAGTATTGTGAGTCCTTTAACAGGCGTACACAATAAATGTGATTGTTATTGAATGTGTGTGTAAATAAATCATTGTAATTCATATGTTTAATTGTAGATAAAAAAGAGAGAGAGAGAGAGATGAACGCTGTGGGAGGAGAGTGGTGAGTGTGACAGTAAATGATGGTGGGACGAGATGTGTTGGTGGTGGTAGAGTGAGGAGGACAAATAACAGATCTCTCTCTCTCTCTCTCTCTCTCTTCTCTCTACACCCGGAAACACCAGGAGCCTCAGTCATCATGCTCGCGTATGGTTCGGTCGTATTGTGTGGGGTGGGGTAGGTGGGGGTTAAGGACAGGTGAGGGACTGATCGTGTTTGTGTTTGTTTGTGTTTGAAACCTTGATGGGCATGAGCCGTGTTTATATGCAAGGTTATCCTCCTTTCCCCCTCCTTCTTCCTTCCTTCCTTCCGTGTTAGGTGTTTGTGAGTGGGTGTAAACATGGAGGGAGGGAGAGAGGAAAGAAGCGTGTTTGTTTTTCCTCCCTGGTGATTTATATGTCTTTGTTGTTTATCATATCCCTTTGTGCATTCCCTTAGTTCTTTCCTCCTTCTTCTACTCTGCACCCTCCTCCCTCTCTTTGGGTTGTCCTTTCCCACCTCCCCCTCCTTACGCCTCCCCTTACAACCCTATCACATGCCTCTGCTTTGTTGCTGTTGGCCTTCCCTTGTTGGTATTCTCTCTCTCTCTCTTTCTTTTGTTCTTACCCTTCTTGTTATTAATTTATTACCACCCTCTTGCCTCTTATTGACATTCATCTACCCTTATAGTCACCTCTGTTGCCATCCTCCGTCCTCTGTTGCCATCCTCCGTCCTCTGTTGCCATCCTCTGTCCTCTGATGCCATCCTCCGTCCCTCGATGCCATCCTCCGTCCTCTGATGCCATCCTCTGTCCTCTGTTGCCATCCTCCGTCCTCTGTTGCCATCCTCTGTCCTCTGTTGCCATCCTCCGTCCTCTCTGTTGTCATCCTCCGCCTCTGTTGCCATCCCCTGTCCTCTGTTGCCATCCTCCGTCCCTCTGTTGCCATCCTCCGTCCTCTGATGCCATCCTCCGTCCCTCTGCTGCCATCCTCCGTCCTCTGTCATCCTCTGTCCTCTGATGCCATCCTCTCCGTCCTCTGATGCCATCCTCCGTCCTCTTATGCCATCCTCTGTCCCTCTGTTGCCATCCCCCGTCCTCTGTTGCCATCCTCCGTCCTCTGATGCCATCCTCCGTCCTTCTGATGCCATCCTCTGTCCTCTGCTCCATCCTCCGTCCTCTGTTGCCATCCTCCGTCCTCTGATGCCATCCTCCGTCCTCTGATGCCATCCTCCGTCCCTCTGTTGCCATCCTCTGTCCTCTGTTGCCATCCTTCTGTCCTCTGCCATCCTCCGTCCGTTTATCCCTCCTGTCCCTTTGCCATCCTCCTCCTCTGATGCCATCCTCCGTCCCTCTGATGCCATCCTCCGTCCTCTGTTGCCATCCTTCTGTCCTCTGTTGCCATCCTGTCCTCTGTTGCCATCCCCGTCCTCTGTTGCCATCCTTCTGTCCTCTGTTGCCATCCTCTGTCCTCTGTTGCCATCCTCCGTCCTCTGATGCCATCCCCGTCCTCTGTCCATCCTTCTGTCCTGATGCCATCCCTGTCCTCTGTTGCCATCCTCCGTCCTCTGATGCCATCCTCCGTCCTCTGATGCCATCCTCCGTCCTCTGATGCCATCCTCTGTCCTCTGTTGCCATCCTCCGTCCTCTGTTGCCATCCTTCTGTCCTCTGTTGCCATCCTCTGTCCCTCTGTTGCCATCCTCCGTCCTCTGATGCCATCCCCGTCCTCTGTTGCCATCCTTCTGTCCTCTGATGCCATCCTCTGTCCTCTGTTGCCATCCTCCTCCGTCCTCTGTTGCCATCCTCCGTCCTCTGATGCCATCCTCTGTCCTCTGTTGCCATCCCCTGTCCTCTGTTGCCATCCTCCGTCCTCTGTTGCCATCCTCCGTCCTCTGTTGCCATCCTCCGTCCTCTGTTGCCATCCTTCTGTCCTCTGTTGCCATTCTTCTGTCCTCTGATGCCATCCTCCCGTCTGTTGCCTCACAATATGACCTTTATTTATTACCGATCAACCATTCCTTCCTCCTCCAGCCTTCCTGATTGGCCGCCCTGATTGCCACCCTTACTCTTCCTAATCCTGCCGCTCGTATTGCCACCCCAACCCCCACCCTACACTCCACCCACTTCAACCTGTTACCCCTGCCTCCTTGCCTCTCTCCCAGCCCCCTGTCTCATCTTGCCCCTGGGAAATAGGAATGTCTCTCATCAGGACACAAGCCTTTCCCAACCCTCGTCTTCCTCTCTCAATTATCCGTGTTGTTTACTCTTTATTATTCACAAATATTGGAATTCCATCATTTATTGTAGTTATTTTATTATACATTGAAGGTTGAATGTAAAGTTGTGTTCCTGGTGTTGTTCGCCTGTGTGACGGTCACTATTAAAATGTTCTGTGTACGGTGAGTGGAGTGAAGTCACGGTGACGTCATGAGTGGGGTGGGCCATTCTGGTATGTGGGGGAGGATGGATGCCCTGACGTTACGCTTGTAGTAGCTATGTTTTGTGTTTTAATCTGAGTGTTATTGTGTATAGCGTTCATCCTTTGGGGGTTGCTTGTACTCTCTCTCTCTCTCTCCATTATGTTTCATTTAGACTTCGGTCTCGCTAGCGATAAGCTGTTACTCTGCTTGTCTCGTATCTGAGAGGGGTGTGTAGTGGTGGTTGTTGTGATGGTGGCTGTGGTAGTAGTGGTGATGGTGCCTGTAGGTGGTGGCAGTGGTAGTAGTGATGGTGGTGGTTAGTAGTTGAGTCCTCTGATACACCACAAACAAACAAAACCCACATGCTGCGCCTGTACTACCTACCACCATTAATGTTCTGTCTCGGTAAACACATTGTTGATCCAGATGATTTTGTATTAATGGGAATAATTTGTATTAGATTTTATTTAATGAGGACAGGTGTATAAAACAGATAATGTCCAGCAGCAGATTAATACATACCTTTTTGTTCTTTTTCAGGTACGGCGCTGTGTGTGTGTGGAGGAGGCGTTGATGGAGGGGGAGTGTAAAGGAAGGTAATGTATTGTGTGTGTGTGTGTGTGTGTGTGTGTGTGTGTGTGTGTGTGTGTGTGTGTGTGTGTGTGTGTGTGTGTGTGAAGCTGGCGTGTCGTGGGCGGTTGAGTGACTTGAGTGAGTGAGTGAGTGAATGAACGAACGAGGGTCGTCTCATTGACAGACTCAACTCATTCATCAGGTGTTTCCTCGCTCGACTGACCACCGGGCCTCGCTACTACTATACTCCTTCCTTCCCCTCCTCCTTCCCCTAACCCCTCCCCCATCCCTTTGTACACTCCCTTTATAACCCTGTTGGAAATACAAGCGCCACACCCTTCCTACCCTTACCCCTAGCACCCATACCATATAATACTCACCCCGGAAAACAAAGTAAAAACAGATTTGCTTTCCATTGACAATACTGAAGGGAAGCAAAGAATTACCTCCGTGTATTAAGAAATATCCTGATAGGAAAACTTTTGTTGAAAAACTAATTAAACTGAGTCCACCGTCTGCCACTCCCAGCAGGATACGTCGGCAAAAATTCATCCGAGGGAAAAAAAATAAGAAATCCGATAGATTGGAAGGTTGTTCATAAATTAAACCTCGATAATGTCATCATGATGTATTCCACAGATAAAATTATAATTTCAGATAACGCGAGCCAGTTATGGTATGATAAAGTATGATGAGATATGTTTTTGGTTTTTTTAGTAAGTAGGGCTTGTGTCATCTCTGGAGGCGGTTGACCTTTGTAAGACTTGTTATCGATTACTTAACTTTATCTTCTTTGTCTGGGTGAGTTTTTTTTTTCTTTCTTTTAATGTGTTTCCGACCTTACTGCATTCTTACGTGTGAGTGAGAGAGAGAGAGAGAGAGAGAGAGAGAGAGAGAGAGACCGACCGACCGACCGACCGACCGACCGACCGACCCACCCCCTCAGCCCCACTACGTCACTCACACGTGAAGTCGCTGCCTTAAAAACAAAAGCTAACCAGCGAAAAAGGCGCGAGTGTTTAGATAATAATTACTCGTGGTTAACAGAGCGTGTTAATGGAGGGTATTAAGGAGAATCGCCTGTGAATACTGAAGAGGAGTGTCGTTTTTGTTGCGATAATTGGCGGCGTGGAATGACACAGTCTCCCCCCCGGTGTGTGACATCCTGCAAGAAAATGGGATACAGGTGATGGTAGAGAGGAGGAAGAGTTTGGTGTCAGGGGATAAGGCTTTGGTGGCATCAGGGAGGATAAGGGTTTGGTGTCACAGGAAGGATAAGTGTTAAGTCTGTAAGGTAATGAATAGACTAATGTTCAATATAGAGTAGAACTTGTTGTTGATGTTGTATGGCCACGAGATGAAGAGTTATAACTCACAACAAACATTCAGAAATATTATGAAAATACATCATTGATTATTACTAAATTGACTAAAAATGAAAAAAAAAATCATGACTGGTAATTTGTGTATTGGTATTACGTCAAGGGTGCTGACGTTGGTGCTGGTGGCTGACGCTGGTGCTGACGCTGGGAGAATGTGATCAGTCACCCTCTGCTGTCTGTGATCCCTTCAGCTGCTCTAGACTACAGTGTGTAATTGCTCATAGTATTGCCAGATCTGAGGAGCTTACCCTTGAAGAGCCTCAACTAGAACGATATCATCACTGGTCTCGGAAATGCCTATGAAGATGGGAGGTAGTAGCTGGTGGGCTGGCCGTCTTGTCCTGGTGCTAGTGGGCGTGGCTGCATGGTGGGCGTGGTGCCAGGGAGGAGCTTCACAAGGCTCCCTCCTCATCATTTTCCGGGTCACAGTCTCGGAAAATCGTTTAACTGAAATTCTGGAGCGAGTTTACAGCGTGTCGAGTGTGAGGTGATCATTAAAGTGTGTGAGGCTGGTGTCTGGTAGCGAGTAAAGTATTTAGTGTGAGTTTAAGTGTGATGTGGGAATTTGTAGCGATTATAAGTGTGTGTGATGGCACTTTAGACCTGGTTTGACACTGGATGACTGTCTGTAACGAGGTCAGTACGAGTTTAGTTGATGACAACACCAGCATTAGTGATTTAATGTCCTGGATACCTGTAATGACTTGCTGGATTAGTCTGTAATTAGCAAACACTGAGCTCGGGTAATGTTATTTTTTTTTTTTGGGGGGGGGGACAGGTCAATGCTGAACGTAGGTAATAATGGGGGTAGGAATGGGTGGTGTTCTGCTTCAGTTGTTGAGAGAGAGAGAGAGAGAGAGAGAGATGCATTGGTATAAAGAAAATACATATTCATGGTCAATTTACAAACGTTATTGGATGTGTGGGTGTAGTGTGGGCGTGTGGGCGGGTGTAGGCGACTGGTGACTGTTGATAGACTGCATGGCTGTGTCCAGTTAACAGTGTGTGTGTGTGTGTGACTCGGAGAGGAGGGGAGGAGGGAGAGTAGCTGGTTTAGGGAGGACACACTTGACTCTTCATGTAATTACACTGTTTACATAAAGTTTCACACACACACACACACACACACACACACACACACACACACACACACACCTTTCCTCACCTACCTGCAGCTTTCTCCTTTCTACTCCATAAATGTTTTCCATCATTTCTACGTAAACCATTCTATCTTTTTTTTTTTACTTTCTATTTCTCTTCCACATACAACTCTCCAGTTGTTCCACATGCGATTTTTCCACTTTTATTTCACATACAACTTTCCGTCCCCTATTCCTCACACAACTTTCTACTTTCCACACATGAACAATTACACTTTCCGCATAAAACTTTCCCCCTCTCCCTCAGCCCTGATATACAACTGTCCATCTGTCTCCCAGCCACACCTGTCTCTCTCCTCCACACCTGTCTCTCACCTCCACACCTGTCTCTCTCCTCCACACCTGTCTCTCTCCTCCACACCTGTCTCTCACCTCCACACCTGTCTCTCTCCTCCACACCTGTCTCTCTCCTCCACACCTGTCTTCCCTGCACACCCGTCTCACCTCCACACCTGTTTCCTCTCCTCCACACCTGTCTCTCCTGCACACCTGTCCCCACCTCCACACCCGTCTCACCCCACACCCGTCTCTCTCCCTCCACACCCGTCTCTCTCTCTCCACACCTGTCTCTCACCTCCACACCTGTCTCTCCTCCACACCTGTCTCACATCCACACCTGTCTCCCTCACCTCCACACCTGTCACTCTGCACCTGTCTCTCACCCTCCACACCTGTTTTTCACTCTCCACACCTGTCTCTCACCTCCACACCTGTCTCTCTCTCTTCCACACCTGTCTCTCTCCCTCCACACCTGTCTCCTCACCTCCACACCTGTCTCTCTCCCCTCCACACCTGTCACTCCTGCACACCTGTTCTCTCCTCCACACCTGTCTCTCTCCTGCACACCTGTCTCTCACCTCCACACCTGTCTCTCTCCTCCACACCTGTCTCTCTCCTGCACACCTGTCTCTCACCTCCACACCTGTCTCTCTCCCCCTCACATAAGAGAACGAAAAACCCTGAAGAGTATTTTTTCCCCCATTCATTATTTTAATTCTCTACATTAAAAAACATTATTATTATTATTATCGTGTGTGTGTGTGTGTGTGTGTGTGTGTGTGTGTGTGTGTGTGTGTGTGTGTGTGTGTGAAGTTCATTAGTGCTATTGCTTGTACTTGAGAGGTATGCAGGGTTAGGTAGGCAAGTAAGCAGACAGGTATAGGTAGGCAATTAGGCAGAAGTCAAAATTAACCTATCCATTTATAACCTAACCTAACCTAGCCTAGCCTAACTTTACTTATGACAAAATACACCAACGAATCAAGCCTTCGTTGCAGAATACGTGGGTCGACATCATGCAATTTGCAACATTATTCTAACAACTTCATCATAAGGCCACATCACATT